TTACTCGCTCGAATTCGTTTCGCCACGCTTCGCGATCCGCTCGCATTTCCTCCTGAAGGGCTGCGATGCGCGCGAAGAGCTGCTGGGTAACCTCGGCGTTGTCGAAGGTTGCCATCCTGTTCAAAACACGCACGGAGGGGGTAATTCGAAAATCGCGGAGCTGGTGCTTACCAGAATCGGCGTCGAATCCGTCGCCCCCGGCGGTTTTTCGAGGCAGGTTTTCCCGCTGCTGCTGCTTTGTTGAGCGCGGCCGAGTGAGAAAAGCTCTGATTACCAAGTGTCACAGGATCGAATGTCTCGAGGATCGATTGCACTATCGATCAGTACAAGGCGCTTTTATACTTCCAGAATACATTAAGTAACCAGGTTTATCCTATCTAAAGGAATAGACCCTTCTAGAATATAGAATCACCCTGCGTATAGCCACGCGAGGCTATTGGCTTTAAGGGATTACGGCAGGATTACGCTAGATAGCGTGTCTAGAACATTCCATGCCTGGTCGGTGATATAATTATAATAAGGGAAGAAATCAAAGGATAATGGAAAATGGGGAATATGAGACCAAATGAGATGAGATAAAAAGAGGAATGAAATGAAGATGAAATATGGAAAAGGCCAAGTGGTGTAACGAGGTCGTACTCTCACAGCAACGGCCTCCAACCCATCGCCTACGAGTCACGAAAGCTGAACCAGGTCGAGCGAAATTATCCTGTCCACGACAAGGAGTTACTCCGCATCATTCACGCTTTCAAAGTGTGGCACTGCTACCTGACGGGCACAGACGTGACAGTCCGAACAGACCACAATTTGCTACAGTTCATCCGTGCCCAACTGACACTGAATCTCCAACAGATTCACTGGCTTGACTACCTCGAGTCCAACTTCCACTACAGAGTCACCTACAAACGGGGGGTTAGCAACATCGCCGACGCACTAACCCGCCCTTCACTCCACACCGCCGCAGTCCTAATTACCCAAGCTAATCTTCTTCTAACTGGCCTATTCATCTACGGATACAGTACCGACCCATTCTTCACCACTAACAGTCATCCCCAACTGACAGTCAAGCAAGGGGATTATTACCTAAAAAACGGTACCAATCGGATTTGGGTTCCTGCCAACCGTACTTTACAGGAAATACTGATCCAGGAGGCACATGACTCGAATTTCTCGGGTCACTACGGCATTGACAAAACTGCAAAATTACAGAGCCGCAATTATTACTGGCCCGACTTGTCGACCGACGTGCAGCAGTACGTCACCTCATGCGTCACGTGTCAACGAATGAAGTCTTCACGGCTTCGACCCGCTGGATTGCTGCAGCCGCTCGAGCCACCCAGCCGACCTTGGCAATAAGGGATGATAGATTTCGTTACTGGCCTGGCAGCTCGTCCAAGCGGTAATGACGCGATTCTCGTCGTCGTTGACCGGTTGACAAAGATGGCCCACTTCGCCGCCTGCAAGACAGCGATTACTGCCGAGCAGACAGCAAAACTGTTCCTGACGAACATCGTGCGGCTACACGACATCCCTTCGGCAATCATCACCGATCGTGACCCACGATTCACGTCCAACTTCTGGACAAAAACCTGGCAGCAGTACGGCACACGCCTACATCTGTCCACGGCGTACCACCCACAATCGGACGGTCAGACTGAGCGCACCAATTAGACGATGGAGCAACTGAGTCGCACGACATGCACAGACCCGTCCCAATGGGAAGATTCCCTTCCCTTGATCGAGTTTGTGTACATTAACGCCCCATTGGCCACGACTACACAGTCCGCGTTCTTCCTCAATTACGGGATGGATCCGACAACCCCGCAATCGCCACCGATAGAAAACCCGGCACCAAGATCTCAGCAGTTCGTCGAAAATCTCCGATAGTCTTAGCAAAAAGCCGCTGATGCCATCCTAAAAGCCAATCGGAGGGCTAAGCAGCAAGCTGGCCGACGACGCCGAGACTTAACACTTGCCCCTGGGCAATTGGTCGTGCTCGACACCAGATATTTGGGAATCCCCCTCCCAAATAAATTATGACCAAGATTTTGCGGCCCATTCCGCATCATCCGCATGGTGACACCAGTCACTGCCCAGCTGCAACTACCGGCTGACTGGCGAATTCATGATTCATTCCACGTCATTCTCCTGCGACCGTTCATCCCGAGTACGACTAATCTCGACCGTCAACATATCAATCCTACGGTCAACCCCGTACCCGAGCCCACGATCGAGCCATCCATGATTCTCGCTCATCGCGTATGAGGCCATCGAGATTCAGCAGCCGTTGATTTCCTTGTACGACGGGTCGATCGCACGACTGATGACGACTTTTGGGTCCCCGCAGCTATGCTCAGCGAACACAAAGTCGTCCAGGACTATTTACACTGACGACGTGTCCCGGATGTGGGTAGTCTCATCCCGGAAGTGGGGGGGGTGTAAGGAAATTCCCTTTTCCTTGCTGGGCTCGACTACAGCGCGTACGCCCTCGACTCTCGGAAGTTCAGGCCCGGCCAACTTCTTCTGTCCCGAATAGGGCTTATTTTATCAGAGTAAATTACTCTGATTCTTTGAAAATCAGTGTCCTTATTGAAAACCACTCTGATGGTTCTGGGTAAAATTTTGAAAGTATTAGTTTTCTCTGATTTATCAGAGTTGGCCTATGTACCACCCTGAAGAGTTTTCAATGGGGGGGATGCTCCTAGATTTTCCCCTGTACTCTCGGTATTCGGCTAAGTCCTCCGACCGCCAGTCACACCCCTCCCATTCCCCACGCAACCTGGATAATTTTGGCTAAGTCCTTCGCAACTGGTCACATCCCACCTCATACCCGCCGTAACCTGGAAATTTTCGGCTAAGTCCTCTGTAACCAGTCACAACACACTTATACCCCACGCAACCCAAGCACATTCCTCCTTCCCACACCCAACCCAACCTAGCCCAGCTGTGATCAGTGCTGTTTGACTGGCCCTTACTGCTAATCACGCTAGTTTTCACGTGTGTAACTTGGCACAGGGTTAATACGTAAACATTGCAGCTGTCGCAATACAGCAAAGGCGATTGGTACAGCACATGCGCCAGCCAATCACAGGCATGTTGTTTCTGTACTTTGCTCACATACAGGCAAGATTGGCTGTTGTTTTTTCCCACGCAAAATGCTTGCCAGCGCGAGTTGCAGTGATGACTGAGGACGTGTTCTGTACCTGAGGCGAGCCCCGAGGGAAGAATTCGGGGCATCAAATATAGGTACGGGCGAGATCCCCTAAGCCAGCACTTTTGGTCATCTGGTCCGTCAAACTGATGCCCCAAAGTCCTGGCTAGGGACTTCCCCGAGTACGGAACGCGCCCTGTTGAGGTATTTCGGAGCAAAGCCTGCATGATTTTTTTTTTGAGAGCCCGGCCGAGACATCCCAGTTTCCAGCTGACTATACCGGGCAGATTTTGGCCCAAATCTCTATAAAGCTGCACGTTTCAGCGTTCATTCAGCACAAGTCTTGGGCAGGGAATTGAAGGGGTTGTGTATATGGCACGCGCCTAGAAAAAAAGTGTTGTGAGATTTGCCAGTCTTCCGGGATAGCGCACCACGGTGCGAAATAGCCGTGGGGAGTGAATCCTGGGCATCAGAGTATATATTTGATAAGTGTGAAAAATGAAAGAATTTGAAAGGTAGTGCAGGAGACAAAGTATAGAATCTACAGACACAAGTACTTGAAGTAGAAATTTATACTAGATGTACCTCCAGTAACAGCCAGTAATAACATGTTGTAACACCAGAATCAGTGTTACAGCCTTGCGATAATTCAAGACTTAACCAAGGATATTTGCTGGAATGGTAGACTAGTAAGACACCGGAAGTCTTACAACTTGTAAAGTATTGACCAGAATTTACTGAAGAACAAGTTAACAATTGAAGTTGTACAAGCTACTTTTATATCTGCTAGAAGTACCTATTCGGTGACGTACTTGTTCGAGCTATTTGCGCTATGCGCTCTAACCGCTACTGAAAAGAGCGCAACTGTTCGCGTGACTGAAATGGCTTGCTGACGTAATCATCCACATGAGTGCTATTTGCTGACGTCATTCTACGCATGCTAACTACAGTGTAACTCAACAATATCTATCGAGACTACTGACAGAAATGCTTAAGTGCGATTTTATCACAACACTCCCCTTCATTTCTGGAAGTCCAATAGTGTCACTTCTTGATAATTCCGCAGAGCTCGTTGCAGTATTGGAACTTCTGACGTGTCAGCTTCTTGGTGAGAAAATCTGCAGCCATTTCATTGGTCGAACAGTAGACCAATCGCATTCTTCCCTTCTCGACTTCATCTTTGACGAAAAAGAACCGTAGCGAAATATGCTTCGTCCTGTTGGCGAAACCAGGTTGATGCGCAATTCTGATTGCACTTTGATTGTCACACTGTAGGGTGAACTGTGTACTTGTCATTAACTTCCCTTCCTCCAGTAGCTCTTGCAGATAAAGACCTTCGCGAGTAGCTGTGCAGGCAGTTATAAACTCGGCTTCAGCGGATGAAAGAGCTACTAGCTCTTTCTTTGTAGAATTCCACGAGATAGTCCCAATAGGTTTGAGACGATAGATGAATCCGATGCGAGATCGACAATTACTAGTATCTGCTGCATGATCAGCATCGACGTACCCGTTATATAAGGTTTTCGTAGTAGTAACTTGGTAGGTAAGTCTGACTTCAGGTGTCGAAATGAAATACTGAAGAGCCCGAAGAAGATCTAGCCGATTCTCCCCCTCAGGTCGACGCAGAAATTGCGCGAGCTGGCTAGCGGCATAGGCGAGATCGGGACAACACGTTACAGCTGCGAATAGAAGACAACCTAGTTGCTGCTGATAAATCTGTAGTTCTACGTTATCGAGTGGAGTAGTATCCGATTGATAGTTAGTCGGTAGAGATCGGTAAGGAGTGGTTACTGTTGAAGCTGTGAGATTAAAACGTGCGGCTAGCGTAGCTGCATACTTTGAAGCTGTAAGATGAATAGCAGTTGCTGTTCGGTGGATGTTAAGTCCGAGAAACTGTGTGACTGTAGGAGCGATGGTAATCTGTAGATTCTGTTGGAGTTTCTGTTCGAAGATAGTAGCGAGAGAATCGGTAGTGCTGATATAAAGTAAGTCGTCGATGTAGGCGATGAGTAGAATGTAGTCGGTACCATCGGTAAGCAGGTACAGTCCCTGGTCGTGTGGAAGCTGACGAAACCCGGCAGTTAACAGCTGTCGATGTAGATACTGCTATCACAGTCGTGGAGCCTGTTTGATGCCGTAGAGAGATTTTCTGAGACGAAAAACGCTTGGAGGGTTAGTTTCGTAAGAATGCGGATACTCGACCAGGATTAGTGCGACGACAGGCGCATATAGAAAGGCGTTGGCGACGTCGATTTGACGGAGTCTGGAATTCCGGTAGGCTGCGATACAGAGAAGGATGCGGACACTGGTGTGTCTGCCGACGGGAGCGAAGGTCAATTTGTAGTCGAGTCCAAATGTTTGCTCAAAGCCGCGGACGACCCATCGCACCTTGAACTTTTCGAAGGAACCATCGGCATTTGTCTTCAAGCGGAAAACTTTTTTTCCGGTAAGAACCTTACTCTCCTTTGCTTCCTTCAGTGGGATAAGATCCCAGGTGCCACGCTTTTCCATAGCCGCTAACTCTCGGTCCATGGCTTCGCGCCATTTTTCCTTGTGAGGACATGTCAAAGCTTGGCGAACTGTTTTCGGCTCCATAATTTTACTGCTGTTTGGCTGTACTGCGACTGCAAGTCCCAAAACTTGTAAACCAGTTTCTGTAAAGCGGGGACAATTTGAGTTGACACCAGAGAAGTTGTGTTCTGATCCCTGTTCCCCCCCAACTTCTTCAGGTGTTACTCGGATAGCTACTTCGGAGACAACGGGCATTGGTTGCTGTTGGCGGTCATGTTCGTAATCAAGAACCACATTGCGAACATCCTCTAAGTCTTCTTCGCTGAGTGGAATAAATTCAGCAGTTCCAGCTGACGTGGTTGGCACGGGAATGTCTGTGGCAGCTTCGGAAGATTCAGCGACAGATTCGTCCTGTACATCTGCTTCGGCCTCGTCGGTGGCAAAAGCACGCGAGCCCTCGAACAGCCTGACAAGATTGGCAGCTGCTGCCTGATGAGCACGAAAAACAGGTAAGGTGAGGCGTTCGTAGAAAAGACAATCACGTGCTGCTACGATTTGACTCGTGTGAAGATCCATAATTTTCCACGCGTAAAACTGCTTCTCGATGCCAAGATGTACTCCCCACTTAGCGCGTTCATAAAATTTCCCCAGTGCTACTATCGGAGGTCGGTATTCGAGGATGCACCCAAAAACTCTTAAAAGTTTTGTGCTGCCAACTGTTTTTGTCCACTGCAGGTGTGGTGAAGAAAATTCCGGAAGAGAAGTTGTCGACAGCAAATTGTGCAGAAGAACTGCATGGTCCAAAGCGTAAGTCCAAAAATTTGGAGGTAATGCTGCCTGAGTCAGCAAGACTCGCATCTTCTCTTGTAGAGTCATGTTCATCCTTTCTGCTAACCCCATCTGGTTGTGAGAGAATTTTACACACTGAAATTGTATTCTGTGCCATATATAATCCCTTCAAATGCTTCCACGCAGATTCTGCTGGAGTCAAACTGGTGTGAAGAGAGCGTATACCAAGCTGCTCTTTCAGCGACAGATTGCGGATAAGGACGGTGTAAGCGCTGAGTGAAGCATGAAGAAAACTCGCTTGTTCCATCTGTGTTCCCGTAACAGGATACGAATAATCGCCTCTGAAGAATGGCCACAATCCAGCGGATTTCGTGAGGAGCTCGAATTTGAAACTCCAAGCGTAGAAGTCAGTGCGATTAAAAGGTATAGTTGTCTTGATCTGTGTATTGCTTAAAAGGTTCGGTGCCTGAAAGACGGGGCCAATGAAAGAAGTCTGCTGTTGCGGAAACTGCTGTTGCGGTTGCTGTTGTTGCTGTTGATGTTGCTGTTGTTGCTGAAACTGTTGTTGTGCTTGCTGCTGTTGTTGCAGAAATCAAAATTGTTGATGTTGAGCAAGTGTAAATGCAAACGAAGAACTGGATCCGGGAGCGGCTGCAGCTCTTGCATAGCTGGAACCATCAATGCTCATACCACTGAAAGCCGATGTTACTGATGCTGCTGCTTCTTGCTGTGATGTTGCAGGTGCAGAGGACGAAGTCCCCGGTGGATGCACAGTAGGCAAACCTTGCTGCTATTGCATCATCCCAATTGAAGAATAAGCATGTGGAAAAATTCCAGCTGCAGAGTCACCTGCTTGACCAGTGAAGACTGTAGGATTTGTAATACCCGTGGTTCCAGTTGTTGAAGAAGTAGACGTTGGAGATGGTGATGGTCCAATCATTTGTAAAATTGACGATAGTCTTAATCCCAGACAACTCTTATACCATGAAAGAATTTGAAAGGTGGTGCAGAAGACTAAGTATAGAATCTGCAGACACAAGTATTTGAAGTAGAAAGTAATACTGGAAGTATCTCCAGTAACAGCCAGTATTAACAAGTTGTAACACCAGAGTAAGTGTTACAGCCTTGCGATACTTCAAGACCAGGGTCCTCAATTGCAGACAAAATCCGCCTGTTTGTCTGATTTTCAGAACCTTTTTTTGGCCTTCATCTGATTTTTTAGAAACGTGCTTTCAGACTTTCTGATGTCCTAGAAAGTGATTTTGTATTCATCTGGAAAAACAGAATAAGGGTACTCGTTCTTCTGAGTTTTTAGACTTAGCGAATCCATCCGTCTCAAACTAGGGGTGTATACAGCCCCCCTATCCAGACCGCATATACCACGCGGCCCGCATTGTGGCCGCCCAGCCTACCCAAAACGTAAACGCACTATTGCGTGCATCAGTAAGCTAAAAATTTTCTACTAAACATTCTGTATATTTAGAAATTTATGCCATGTTCGTCTGACAAATCAGAAATCTTTGAAGAACCCGTCTGATGATCAGACGGGCTCGTAGGGCCCGTCTGATCGCTTAGAAAGTGGCTGGGGGCAATCGTGGACCCTGTTCAAGACTTAACCAAGGATCTTTGCTTGAATGGTAGACTATTAAGACAGCGGAAGTCTTAGAACTTGTAAATTATTGACCAGAATTTACTGAAGAACAAGTTAACAATTGAAGTTGTACAAGCTACTTTTATATCTGTTAGAAGTATCTATTTGGTGATGTACTTGTTCGAGCTATTTGCGCTATGCGCTCTAACCGCTACTGAAAAGAGCGCGACTGTTCGCGTGACTGAAATGGCTTGCTGACATAATCATCCACATGAGTGCTATTTGCTGACGTCATTTTACGGATGCTAACTACAGTGTAACTCGACAATATCTATCACAACAAAAAAAACCCTGACAAATCATAGTACAAGCTCCAGGGCACTCTGAAAATCAGAGTTTGGCCAGGAGTCACTCGTGAAAATCAGATTGGTGAAAAACCAAAGATAAGCCCTGGTCCACCGAACCGAACCATTTCGCGAACCCAAACGTAGTCGCGCAGCGCTTACCGAATCGTCCCAACCTGTTCGTGTGGTTCTCGGCTAGCTCTGTTCGTGCCTATAAATTCCTAGGCTCTCATTTGTATCGACACTCTTGAATCACGACTCCTTTATTAGACTACCTGTTATTACTCTGATTAATTCATAACATATTTGCAAATCGTAGCTCAGTATGTTACCGTGCCAACGCTGACGACATTTTCCCAATTTCTCCTCCACCACTTCCCCCCTCCCGCCCCTGTCACCACAGATCAATCCTAGAAGGCTGATCAGCAGCGGCAGCGATCAAAAGCAGTGTCGATCACCGCGGGGGAGAGCGCGTCGATAGCAGCTCCATCCCGACGTAGTGCCACTGTAAATTCTTAGATTCTGCGAAATTGCCGTGTGGAACTACATTTTTTCCCCATCGTCCCAGCACCGTAAAGTCTAGATTGTCTTCTCACATAGTTTTGCAGAGAAGCCATTTTCCGTCATTTCCAGAAAGCTCGCGTGTCCGTATTTTTGTGTTACCTTCTGAGGGCTAAAGAGTTATTGACTGCGACTGCGCCATCTTTTAAGACTGCGGCGCAGCAGAGAATCGGCGAGCAGGAGGAGTTAAAACATGGTGCAGTCGAGTTCGAATCCGTGTCGCGTCCCTCGGCTGCGGCTACGGCGGCGGCTGCGGCCCATCGGGCAGCTGCTGCTGCTCGCGCTGGCGCTGTCGGCGAGCAGCAGGGCGGGCGGCGTGCGGTTCACGCTGGACCGCAAGGAGTGTCTGGTGCAGTACGTGAACTGGGTGGGCGACGTCGTGCACGGCAACTTCGTCGTCGTCAGCGCCGACTCGTGGGGCGACTGGGAGCACAACGGCGTCGACCTCGTGGTGGGTGTCGACCTCGTGGTGGGTGGCGTCCACCTCGCCGTGGGTCGCACGGTCGACCGAGTTACCATAATTGCTGCTCTGGCAACGCCTTGTGTTGCCACCGAGGGCAGGGATGGTGTCGACCTCGTGCTGAGTCGACCTGCTGCTTCGTTGCCGCGTTGCTCGCCCATGCTCCCCCTTCCACTCGCGCAGATCAGCGACCCCGACGGGTACACGGCGTTTTCAACGGAGGGGCAGACGCAGGGCAAGTTCGAGTTCATGTCGCAGAGGGAGGGCGACTACCGCTTCTGCTTCACCAACAAGTGAGACCAGGGGGGAGTGCGTGTGTGGGTTGGGGGAGGGGGTCCTTGGTGGGAGGCTACGGGTAGAGTTGAGTGGGTGGCAAGGGGGAAGAGAGGGCAAGCAAGGGCCTCCGCGCCTTGGCGAGACGGTTATTGTGCTTGTGTTGCGGGCGCGAGTGGGAGAATGGAGCAGTGCGCGTGGAGGTGGAGAGGGGATGAGTGCGCGTGGCAGGAGAAGCCAGGTGGCGCTGCTGCCTCTGCCTCAGCAGCGCGTGTGGGTGGGTTGTGGGGGCAGCAAAGTCCAGGGGAGGAAGGTGTGGGGGTGAGAGAGGAGTCGGTGGCAAGGGTTGACTTGATGAAGCGCGTGCCGCGCAGGGGGTCTGCGAGGGGGGACAGGGGCGGCGGAGATGGGGAGGAGCAAGCGAGGGGATGTCGATGAAACACAGAGTGCGAGGGACTAGTACAGGGCCAAGTATCAGCATACTGAACCCATTGTCAGTGCTATGTGGTGTGCTTACCATCATACACCTCTGCTTCCACCCTTCATTCTGCGCCGGCCCACTCATGCCACTCATGCCACTCATGCCACTCATGCCACTCATGCCACTCATGCCACTCATGCCTCTCGTGCCACTCATGCCACTAATGCCTCTCTTGCCACTCATGCCACTCATGCCACTCATGCCACTCATGCCACTCATGCCACTCATGCCACTAATGCCACTCATGCCACTCATGCCACTCATGCCACTCATGCCACTCATGCCACTAATGCCACTCATGCCACTCATGCCACTCATGCCACTCATGCCACTCATGCCACTCGTGCCACTCGTGCCACTCATGCCACTCATGCCTCTCATGCCACTCATGCCACTCATGCCACTCATGCCACTCATACCACTCATACCACTCATACCACTCATGCCACTCATGCCACTCATGCCACTCATGCCTCTCATGCCTCTCATGCCACTCGTGCCACTCGTGCCACTCATGCCACTCATGCCACTCTGCCACTCTGCCACTCATGCCACTCATGCCACTCATGCCACTCATGCCACTCCTGCCACTCGTGCCACTCATGCCACTCATGCCACTCATGCCACTCCTGCCACTCATGCCACTCATGCCTCTCATGCCACTAATGCCACTCATGCCACTCATGCCACTCATGCCACTCATGCCACTCATGCCAGTAATGCCACTCATGCCAATCATGCCACTAATGCCACTCATGCCACTAATGCCACTCATGCCACTCATGCCACTCATGCCACTCGTGCCACCATCTCTCCCCCCCTCTCCCCCTCCTTAGGGCGCCGGTGTTTGAGACGGTGTCGCTGGAGGTGTTTGTGGGGCACCAGGTGCAGGCCCACGAGATCGCCCAGGATGGTGAGTCAGCCCAGGGCATTGCTCTTGCTGCTTTGCTTGGTGCTTTTCGCTGCAAGGTGGCAGGCATGGCAAGCATCGCCACATTGCCTTGCTGCCCTCGTTGCCTCAATGGTTCACACCAGAAGCTTGTTGGTTTCAGTTTCTCTACAGAATGGGATCGGACATGTTTTTACACGTGTCTCCCTTCCTCCGGTGCCTTGTGCCAGTGCGGCCTAGCCTTTCTCTCGGCATGCGAAGCCCGCATCTCATCCCACCTCCCCAACTGGCTCCTCCAACACTCCTGTCGCCGTGCACAGGACTTCGTCGACCCAACTCCCCTTGCTCCTTCTCCTCCCACCCCCCTTCCGACCTCCCAGGGTTCTCTCCTCTCCCTCAAGCTGGCTCCACAGAGCTCTGCCTACCGGTCACAGCTGAGCTGCCTGCGCGGGTGATTTGCACCGCCCCCATGACGTGCATCCGCAGCCCGTTCCTTACAACACGCTCACAATCAAGTGCTTGCTTCCTCGTACACTCCCACTCACGCCACCCACCTCTCCACTGTTCCACGCTTTGACTGCCCCCAGAGCACATTCTGCCGATCGTGACGAAGCTGTCGGGGCTGCACAACCACATCACCGGCATCTACCTCGAGGCCAAGTGGTTCCACGCACAGTCCGAGAGGCAGAACGAACGTGAGCTCTGCTGCGGGCGATGAGAGCGAAAAGGGGGGTACAGGGGTGGGGGGGGAGCGAGAGTCGGGGTGTGTGCATGCAGCACTCCCACAAATTCCCCCAGAGAATAAACCGAACGGGCAAAATTCCCTCAATTGTTTTCCTCCCGCCCCCCTTTCCATTGTTGCCCTTCGGTGCTTTCATTCCCCCCCCCTTCCTTTCCTTGTTCACCCCCCCCCTCTCCACCTCCCCTTTCCCACAGTGGCCAAGGCCACGACGCGCAAGCTGGTGGTGAAGACTGTGGTCCAGTCGCTCGCTCTCATGACATGCTCCTTGGTGCAGGCAAGCTCTCTCGCACGCCCACACAAGCCCTGTCCCGTTTCCCGTGTCCCGTGTCCCGTGTCCCGTTTCCGTGTCCCGTGTCCCGTGTCCGGTGTCCCATGTCCCGTGTCCCGTGTCCCGTGTCCCGTGTCCCGTGTCCCGTGTCCCGTGTCACGTTTCCACTGCCTGCACTCGTTCTCATGGTTTCCATTTCTCCTCCGTGTGTTCATCACGACCTCTTGTGCAGGTCTACCTGCTGAGACGCCTCTTTGAAAAGAAGCTTGGAAGGACGATGGTGTGATTGCTTGTGTGAGCAGCTTCGATAAGAATCATGCAAATTGAACCCCTGAGAGCTTTGCGTGAAATTATGTGTCAGCAGAATATGATTGCATAATATGCTGAGTTGAGATGAAAATCGTGTTACCGTATGCCATGCGATGCCCGGCAGCCTCTGTCAGTTCCACTCTCATCCTACCATTTACCAGCACACGAGGCTGCATTGCATACATATAACGCAGCAACAGAGAAATGCAAAATGTCTTTTAGGGCATATGCATTACAGGAACACCGTGATGCTCTTACACTGCCTATTTCCAACGGTACAACATAACTAACCCCACGATACCATTAGCAGGGCGCTAGTGGTCGCCACTCCTGCCAGCTGCCACTCCTGCCAGTGGCCCTTCCCCTCTGCTACTCTCAGCAGGCACAAGCCATCCCACCCTCTTGCAATAGACCCTTGGAATACGCCTCTGAACCAAGCAAGCACACAACACCACCCTGCCAGATGTCCCCCTTCCCAGACGTCACTCCTGCCAGTGGCCCTGCCTCCCTGCCCACATCACTCCTGCCAGTGGCCCTGCCTCCCAGCGGCTCTCAGCATCTCCTTGTGTCGTGCAAATGCCACCCGCCCCACGTCGCCAAGAAAAGCACCGCCATCAGCAGCAGCAGCAGCAGCAGCAGCAGCAGCACCAGCGGCAACCGGACAGCTTCCACCACCAAACCTCCCTCCCACATGGCTCAAACCGTATGCACCCTGCACACCCCCCAGCTCACGCAAACACACGACTTGAAGGGGTCTCACTGACCCAAACAGCCCCCACCCGCTGCTTCCTTGCGTGGAAGCTTCCTCACGGCCCGCATTCCCATCACTGCTGCCCGCTGCTCCGCCAATCATGGCGAGACACCTGTCCACACAGAGGTCCAGATCCCCAGGAGATGGCTCCGGGGTGACGGATCGCGACCTGCTCTCGGCCAACTCCCTTGGTGCGCCTGGTATTGATCTCTCGGTGCTGCCTGTCGGTGAGCTGCTCTCAGCACGATCAAGTGGTGTTGTGAAACCTATAAGGGACTTCCCACTGCACCCGACTACTGCCCTGCTATCGCCGCACCCTACCTCTGACCTCCTCCCAGCACCGTAACCTTGTGACCGCTCCACAAAGCAGGGCTGCTGGAATAAGGTGGCGGGCTCTAGAGGAGAAACGAGGGGTGATGGGGGAAGACGGGCAACCGCAGGAGCAGAAATGGCAGCAGCAGGCACAGAAGTGGTGGCAGAGATAGCAGCAGTCCGCACAGGCGCAACCGGTGGAAAGACGGCCGCAGTGACAACGAGTGGAGAGGCAGGTGCAGCCGCTGTGGTAACAGAATACTCATCCAACGCCACTGCTGCTCTCCCTCTTTCTCCTCCTTTTAGGCCTCCTTCGCCTTTTCCCCATTCTCCCCATACTCTCGTCCCATCCCCTTGTCTCTGATGCCACAACCCACCCCCCCCTCTTGAACCGCTTCCTTCCACCTTGCGGCATGCAGCCACGCGTGCACCTTCACACGTGTCTGTGCGCGCAGCACATTCGAAATCCTCCAGGCAGGCACCACGCGCGCATGCCCCACCAAGCTCACATGCCCCAGCTCCCCCACGCTCGCATTCCCCGGCGCCCCTCCCACAGGCTACGCTGCCCGCCTCACAGCTCCAAGCAAAGTCTGCAGCCCTCAGGCGCCGCAGCCCACCCAGTGCACTCCTCCCTGCACTCACAGGCATCACAGGCACCACAGGCGCGACAGGCGTCGCAGGCACCACCGGCGCCACAGGCACCACAGGCACCACAGGCACCACAGGCACCACAGGCACCACAGGCACCACAGGCACCACAGGCACCACAGGCACCACAGGCACCACAGGCACCACAGGCACCACAGGCACCACAGGCACCACAGGCACCACAGGCACCACCGGCATCACAGGCGCCACAGGCATAGCACCCACACCCACACCCGGTGCAGGCTTGCCCATCCTCTCAGCTGCTGCGACGGCCACACCAGCTTCACCCCTCCCTGTGCTGCCAGCTGCTGCCCAGGCCGCTGTTTTCACCCTCTTCCTGCGCTTGCGCCGCTGTGGGCCTTCGCCACCGCCACACCCGCCATCCCACTCGTTGCTTTCCCCGCCACTCGCCCTCCCGCCCTCCATCCCGCCACCGCTCGCTCTCTCCTCTTCCCGCCCTCCACCCCTCACCGCATCGCTTCCCTTGCCTGCATGACTCCCTCTCGTCGCACTCTCCCTCCCCCCTTCCCCATCCCTCTCCCAATCGCTCCTCACCCCGTTCCCCTCCCTCCGCCGTCCCCCCTCCCCCATCCGTTCCCCCCTCCTTTCTCCATTCTCCCCCATCCTTTCCCCCTCCCCCCGCCGATTCTGCTCCGCCTCGCCCTCGGGTCGCAGCTCCCCTTCCGTCATCATCCTCTCCCCACTCTCCGCCATCCGTCCGTCAATTCTGGCTGGCAGAACGGGGCTCGTCCAGACGGAATCCGTCAGAATGAGGTCCACCAGCTCCTCCTTCAAGTGGCTGCGCCTGGGAGGCGCGCAGCTGGCCATGCCATGGCGGCGGGACGCTTCGGAAAAAGGTACGGCGGAAGATGCGCCGTTAGATGCGTCGTTGCATGATGGGCCGTTATGTGCACCGGGAAATGCGGCGGAGGAAGCGGCAGCGAGGGGTAGAAGCGCGGGGGGGAGGGGGACTGGGAGGCGGAGGAGGGCGGCAAGCAGCCGAAGCGCGCCGATGGAGAGACGCCTTAAGCATGTCACGCGCGGCCGGCCTGCCTCGAGCAAGTGGCGATGAAGGTCCTGCGATAGGCAGACGGTTCCCAGCGGTATAAAACGGTGGTAAAGGAAAAGTCAAGAAAACCAAGAAAGAAGCCGCTAGGGTTGAGAGCAAGCCCGTCAGCCGCTGCCTCTAGTACTATGCTCGCGGCGACAGGCAAAGACAAGTCGAGTCGTCGAGGAAAAAAGCCAGACTTCTATCAAGAGACGCACCACGATTAACGGCGAGGATTGCGCGCTCATGTGCGACGCGATAAGCGCCAACGAGTCGAGAGGAGTGACGCCAGCTGGCAGGTCGACGGTGCCGACAAGATGTAACCCGTCGCCCGCTCCTAACGCGATTGGCGCTCCGCGCTTCGCCAATGTCGCCGCGTCGCACGCAAAGGACAGCAGGGCGTCGCCGTAAACGACTTCGTTCGTAAGGCGGCGCAAGCCGTTGCCCAGATGCTCCAAGTCGGTTATCCGACGGCTGTTCCGATTGCTGTTCCGATTGCCGCTGCAGGCGGCCTCCCGATGCTTTCGAGACTCCAGGTAAGTAACAATTCGCTTCGAGGTCTTCGTCATAATTCTTGGCATGCGCACCGACACGTTCAAGAGCTAAATCCGGAGACTGTCATGCTTGCAACGGGCATGCAAGAACGAGTGCAATATGGCACATGGCTAGGCTGCAACTGTAATGCACGGTTCTGCTCCTTGGAGAAATTGAAATCTTGAAAGCTCAAACCGAGAGTCATGCTGAGAACTGTACTCGTTGTAGACATCTAAACTGTGGCTAGGTGTTACTGTCAGCATATATATTTTATAGATATATATGTATATGCTAGGTAGGTGTACTACAAAGTGTTGGTTCCTACTGTAGAGGGTACAACACCCTTCTTGTATCTCTCTCTCTTCACTAGTCGACCTCTTTTCTCTCGCTGAACATCTCACTACCTAGCTCAAACCTCCTTCTAACATAGTTTCAGAGCAGGCTGATCCTGCTGAGCCTTCTCCTCACGCTTCCGCCGCGTACTCTTCTCCCTCCTCTCACTTTCACGCCGCCGTGTCAGTCCTGTCGGGCTGCAATGGCGGCCTTGATATGTTGTCGTGGCGGCATCGACGCGTTGCCATGGCGGTTTCGTCGTGCTGCCATGGCGGCTTCGACGCGCCAGCGCACGGACGGCAGCGACCAGCGCGCTGATCTAGCGCTGGCCAGCACGCCCGCATGCAGCCAGTGCGCCAGCCAGGGCGGCTCGCTCCGTGGCTCCGCTGCAGAAGACTCGCCCCCTCCCCCTGCGTCCCCCCTCCTCCCCGCCGCAGCTGACGGCTGACTCGCGCGGTCCTTCCCCACCGTCGCGTAGTGCCACGCCGCCAGGTGCCGCGGGCTCCGCCGCCGCCGCCGCTGCAGGTGCCGCTGGCTCCGCCGCCTCGCCGCCACCGCTGCCATTACCCTCACTGCCGACATCGCCGCCTCGCACGCCGTGGGATCGACCGCGCTGAAGAATCCGCCGCTGCTGCTGGGTATGGGGGTGCTAGGCTTAGGGGGTGTTGGGCTTAGAGGTGCTGTGTGCATGGTGTGTTTTGCCCTAAACAACTACTAAAACTAGTGGACAGGCTAGTAGTACTGCCCTGGTCTCTTCTCTGCGTATCGCCTACCAAGCCTAGGGGGTGTGTCAACATATATATTTTATAGATATATAATGTTTAGGCTAGGTAGGTGTACTACAAAGTGCTGGTTCCTATTGTAGAGGGTACAACACCCTTCTTGTACCTCTCTCTCTTCACTACTCGACCTCTTTTCTCTTGCTAAACTTCTCGCTACCTAGCTTAAACCTCCTTCTAACAGTTACCACATGATGCTAGAAGATACCAGCTGATTTACTATGAGGAAATTCCCTTTTCCTTACTGGGCTCGACTACACCGCGTACGCTCTCGACTCTCGGAAGTCCAGGCTCGGCCAACTTCTTCGGCCCCGAACCAATTTGCGAACCCAAACCTCGACGCATGGCACTTCCGTAGCTTTCGCCAACCGAACCGCTCCAACATATTCTCGTGGTTCACAGCTAGCTATGTTCGTGCCTATAAATGCCTAGGCCTTCATTTGTATCGACACTCTTGAATCACGATCCCTTTATTCCACTACATGTTATTACTCTGACTAATTCATAACGGCTGGTATCATAGCTCCATTCATGCCCGCTTAGTCTTCCGTAGAGTAGTCCGTTTATATCGGGAGACGACCCGGCAGATAGAGGGTTGGCCACTGGCTGGTAGGTGACAGGGCCTCAGATTCGTTTAGAGGCACCCTGATAGCTCAGGGTTCCCCCACCTTGGTCTCCTGATTTTTCAGGCCTCTCCAAAAAAAATTCCTTGATCCATCAGGGTCCCTAAAAATTTTCACGCTGAGTAAACATGATTATACACAAAAAGCACGCTGTGTAATATATGCCTAGTATTATGTGGTAGCAGGGTTCTCAATGGCAGCAGGCGCTGTGGGACCAAGGCTAGGATTGGGCTCTGAAAGTACGACCGCGTCGGAAACAAAAATGGACGGTCGCATCGCATTCAAGTCTGCGGGATCGACAAGGGGCGGTTGGGGAAACTCACGGAAATCATGGGTGCAGGGGTGGGGGCTGCGAATCTGCTATACATGAATCTGGACAAACAGGGCTCACTACACTAGTAACGCTGATCGATCAGAGTTCACTCCTAAAAAAACGCTGAAATTTCAGGCTTGTGTCTCATCAGGGTCACCCTCCAAGAAAGCCCTGATTTTACCCTGAATCAGGGTGAAAAGCCTGCAATCTGAGGCCCTGGTAGGAGCGTGTGCACCCACAGATCTGTCAGGTAAAATGTCCAGCATGCCTAATACGCCGGAAACCTCAACCCGTCGTAGTGTTAGGAACGTGATTCAAGAGGAGTTTGACGAGTTGCAAGCTAGGGCAGCTACAATGACGACACTGCAGGCCTATCTTCAACAACTCGCCGGTAAGTTTGAGACGATGGGAAGCGAAGTGGAGACGCTGCGCAACGAAAACTCGTCACTTCACCAGGCGCGGGGTGAAACGTTCCAGAGGCAGCCTGTTACCCGAGACAAAGATGTTGCGAGCGAAGCGAGGGCGTCGACAACACCTGAAGCAGATGAAGAAATCCACAGCGAGCCGCGATTGGCCATTAAATTCAAAACACCCATGCCGTTGCCGTTCAACCCAACCGACAAATCAACTTCAGTGAGCGGTTGGTTGTTTGCCATGGAAATATTCTTTACAGTAGCAAGTATTAATGACGATGCTTTAGGTGTCAAATTGGTTGTCGCACTGCTAAGGGGACTGGCACTCGACTGGTGGCGCATGCATCTTGACGAGGGAGGAGCCCCGGCAGGGAATCAACGAATGATAGATGGGAAGCAAGGTTCATCAATGGCACCGGCATGACTGAACTTTCGGTCGGCCAAAATCCGCACATGGAAAGCGTGGGGCGAAGCATTGAAGAGACGCTTCGAGCACATATTCATGTACGAAAACGCTCGTATAAGGCTTCGGATGTGGCGTCAGTTGGTATCTGTCCAATAGCACACGGCTTCGTTCCTGACGCTCTGCGATCAAATCGGCGGCCTCAGCGACAACGAAAAAAATCGATCGCTACATGGGGTGGTCTCAAGCCAAAGATTCAACAAGAGATCGTCCTGTGAGCCCCGACGACCTTCAACGAAATCGTAGATGCACTGGACACGAGACGTGAACTAGTGAGGGCGGGCTTCCATGAGGGAAACCGTTTTCGAAGCCAGCCCCAACACACATCAATCAACCGCATGGATGTATTTGCAACTTGAGTTTTTCAGGGGAGTTGTTTCAACTGCAACCAGCCGAGCCACATGGTGAAGGACTGCCCCGAGCTGAAGAACTTAGCTAACGATAGGAGGCAATTGGGAAATGGAAACCATCGGTAGCTGATGGGGCGCTACTCACTTGACTGCGTCGGCCAAACGCCACCATCCCCACCAGGTTATAGTGCCAATTTAGGCTATCGACCATTCCTAGCTGAATAACGGAGGTGAACCGGTTGATCACCCTGTGTTGGTTGAAGGGAGAGTTGGCGACACCCGAATCAAAATATGTGTTGATGGCGGGGCGAGCCACAGTTTGATGGATGTGACAAATGTGAAGGAACCTCAATTGCAACTAGAGCGCTGCATGACCGAAATCGGCGCGAGGCTGGTTTTTGGCACCCCACTGGAGATTCGGGAGCACGTGCCTCACGTACGAGTCACCTGTGGCAATTTTTTCAGCTTCACGACAAAGATTCTGGCGACGACCCTGGATGGGTGCGACATGCTGTTGGGGTGCGATTGCCTACGCGAGTACAACCCGAGCATCGACTGGCGAATGGGCGATTGTCGCATTACGAGTGGAGTGGCGAGTAGCGATGACTTCCCATGTGGAGAATTCAAGACTTAGCCACGTTGACAGTCAGCCCTGTGACTATTTAGAGGATGATGATTCGTGGAGCACTGTTGTATGTCGTCCAACGGATCCCATCCACGGCTGCCGGAACTCTGATCGACATCGCCAAACTCTGCGCAACTGTTCCGAAGATTTGGCATCCATTATTCGGAAGCACTCTGATACTTTTCCGGATGATCTCCCTGCTGGACTGCCACCTCAGCACCTGCATGACCACAAAATCGAGCTCAAGCTTGGCACGCAACTGAATATTCGGACCCAGTGGCAGCTGAATCAACCGGAGTTGGACTAACTTCGTCGCCAGTTGGACTACCTGCTCGAGAACGGGTTCGTCCGCCCAAGCACATCTCCGTTCGCTGCTCCGATTCTGTTCACCCCGAAGAAAGATGGCGGATTACAAATGTGTACTGACAACCATGCCTTGAATCGGATTACCATCAAGTCTCGCTACCCAATTTTTCGTGCCGACGAACTCATCGACCAGCTTCGTGGGGCCCGGTTCTTCTCCAAAATTGATCTGCGAGGCGGTTACCACCAGATTTGCGTGGATGAAGCTGACTGCTACAAGACGGCGCTTCCGACCCGTATGGAAGTTACGGGTACACATTTATGCCACTCGGCTTAACAAATGCGCCTTCCACATTCCAATTGACCATGAACGAAATTTTCTGGCCACTGATGGATAAGTGCGTCATCGTGTACCTCGATAATATCCTGGTCTACAACACTACCCGGGAGCGCATTTGAAGGATTTGGAAGCCATTTTCTCTCTCCTGCAGTAGAATCAAGTCATCACTAAGGGCTCTAAGTGCGAGTTTCTAAAACCCAAACTGGAGTTTTTGGGCCATGTGATCTCCATTGACGGCGTTAAAATTGACCCCAAGAAGATTGCCACGATCCAGGACTGGAAGCCACCAGTTAATCTCCGTGAACTTGAGTTATCTGGGGTTTGTCAATTACGTCCGCCGGTTCATTGTGAACATGGCGGGGGTAACTTCCCCTCTCATGGATCTTTTGAAGAAGAGCACGTTTTTTGAGTGGGGGGGAGAGCAGTAGGCTGCATTCGAAAAATCTCAAGCTTTTCATGACTACACCTCCAGTTCTTCGAATTGCGGATCCTCACCATCCGTTCGAGCTCATCAGCGACGCTAGCGATCTGGCCGTTCGCGCAGTACTGTGACAAGACTTCGGCGAAGGCCTATGATCCATCGCCTACGAGTCACG